GAAAAAAAAAAAAAAAAAAAAAACAGAAAAAACAGAAAAAACCAGAAATACCGAGAAAAACCAGAAAACCTAGAAAAATCAGAAAAACCTAGAAAACCCAGAAAACCTAGAAAAACAATAAAAATCAGAAAAACCAGAAATCCTAAAAAAAACCAGAAATTCTAGAAAAAAACCAGAAAACCAGAAAACTTAGAAAAATCAGAAAAACCAGATAACCTTAAAAAAACCAGAAAATCGAGAGAAAAAAACCAGAAAACCAGAAAACCTAGAAAACTCAGAAAATCTAGAAAACCTAGAAAAAGCAGAAATAAAAATTGAGAGAGAGAGAGAGAGAGAGAGAGAGAGAGAGCGAACCCAGATGAAGAAGAAGGGTGAGATGATGAAGAAGGGCGAGATGATGAAGAAGGGCGAGTCCTCTTGGGGTTAGGGCTGTCATCATCGTTGGGAGGCATCTTGCTCTTGCCTTTGACATCCATCTTGATATCTATGCCTCTCCGAACTGATACTCACTCCCCAACAGATCAAACCCTGAAATCTTTGAAGGAGTGATGTGGTGAAAGAGGAAGAGAGAGGAGGAGAGGGGGCATTTATGAACTCAACATCTTCCATAACAGAGAGAGAGAGAGCTTTGTTTAGAGAGAGATAGAGAGAGCTAGAGAGAGAGAGTGGAAGCTTAGAAATTGTTGAGAAATTTTCAGACGACTTCCAATATGAACAAGCCTTCTAGAGTCTTCTCTTTTCGGCTACGGTATAAAATAATATTCTTACACGGTTTTAAATTTTTGAAAGTAGCACTAACACGGTTTTCTTTTCTAAAACATAAAAAAATTCTTATGTTACTGGGACAGTGATTATGTGACACTTATTCTAATCGAACGAACAAGTCAGCCTTGAGAAATTCAGATGTCGACGTATGTGCAGGTCTCGAGTCATGTTACGAGAAAAGGTTTAGAAATTGTGAGCGAGGAAATACATTGGAAACAGGTCTGAAGAATTGAAGAAATAAACGTTATATAACGACTTAAAGAGCATATAACTTAGGAGTCTATGACTAGTTGTCATTTCTTACCACGGGTACTAACATTAAAGATATTTTAGAATTTTTTTTAAAAAAGGTTTAAACGTGTTTTTTTTTTAATTTATGTATATGAACGAAATTTTAAAAAACTGGAGGGTATTTTTTAAACAATTTTGAAATTCAAACGGTATTTTTTAAAACAAATCGGGTAGTTTTTTTATATCATTCGGTTTATTTTTTTATACATTATTAAAACTTTTAAAAGTTAATGTTTATTTGATATTTAATTACAAATTAGTTCATAATTAATCGTTAGCCACCTAACGAATAATATGTGTCGTTTAATATATGGTAATTAGACTTTGTCAATATACATTAAATTCAAATATTGATGGTCAATTATTTTTAAAATCTTTAAATTTTTTATACCAATAAACAAATAAGATATAAATAATATAAAGGAAAGAATTCAATATCTTTTCAAAACTATTAGATCCTCCTTTCAACATTATATATTTAGTTTTTTTTAACCTTTTTTTTTGTTGGGTCCCACCTAAAACCTAAGACCTAAGACAAACTTCTTCTCCAGGTTTTGTATATCTAGATCGGAGGCGTTGGATACACACATACATACATACATACGAGTGAGATATATTAGTTATGCTTACTCTTTGTTAGGTAGAGATGTCTACTTGATGGATCGGAGATCGATAAACCTTTTCTATCCTCGTTCTTGCTACTTATCTTAATCTTTATTTCTATATAAAAAAAAATTATTATATATACACACGGGTGAGAAATTATTATATATAATCACTGTCTCTTGCCCCATTTAGTCAACAAGAAGAAATCTCCTGTCATTTCTTGCCATGTCTAATCTAAAATAATGTCTAATCCAACTCAACTCACTGTAATTCGAGTTAGGTCAGTTTGCATTTAGCCAACAAGAAGAAATCTCCTGTCACTTCTTGCCATGTCTAATCTAAAATAATGCTTAGGTCAGTTTGCATGCTGTCTAATCCAACTCAACCCACTGTAATTCGAGTTAGGTCAGTTTGAGTCCAACTTCTTGCCATGTCTAATCTAAAATAATGCTTAGGTCAGTTTGCATGCTGTCTAATCCAACTCAACCCACTGTAATTCGAGTTAGGTCAGTTTGAGTCCAACTCAACCCACTGTAATTCGAGTTAGGTCAGTTTGAGTCCAACTCAACCCACTGTAATTCGAGTTAGGTCAGTTTGAGTTTTCAAGTTCAATGCATACTTTAGATCCTCTTTTTTTTTCTCGAACATCCTAATAAATATAGGGATTCCATTTAGTTATAATGAGGGATGTTAATGAATCATGTATATTAACTAGGAGTATGATATTGGCTTTAGGCTTCTCCAAAAGGCCTCATGCCAATGGAGAGTGTATTCTTAGATTATAAACCCATGACCATTCCCTAAATTAACCAACGTGGGACACTTTCATCTAACATAATATACATATATATGTCTTATAGGAACATTATATTAGGTTTTGACAGAAGAATAACCAAGTAAAAAACATAAACAATTGAATTTTGAAGTGATTATATTATTGAATACTAAACATGGTTTTTATAGCTTTACAAATAACCACATATAGAAACGTAGGTTAACAATCTCTCCCTTGAACTTATTCTTCATTGTCAAGAATTAATTCAAGTTAGAAAAAAGTCTGCACACCAAGTTCTTCACGCCAGTTTTCGAAATGCTTCTAATTTTAAAGGCTTTGTCAACAAATCAGCAAGTTGATTTCGGGTACCACAAAGTTATAAATTAACGGTTCTTTCTTTTGTAAGATCTCTAAAAAAGTGAAATCTTACTCTTACGTGTTTGGAACGAACATGTAGAACTGAATGTTTTTTGATAGCTTAATAGTTGAAGTATTATCACACATTAGCTTTGTTCCTTCTATTTGAGAGTGACCAATCTCTTTGAGTATCCTCCTTATCCAAACAGCTTGACATGCACAGATACTAGCAGCAACAAACTCAGCTTCTATGGTTGATAAGGTGACTATAGACTGCTTACGAGAAGACCAAGCTACTGCTTCTCCACTCATCATAAGCACATAGCCTGAAGTACTCTTACTATCTTTCATGTCTCCACATAGTCACTTAAAACCCTTTTAGCTCCCTTCCTCTTGATGAAGAGTGTATGCTCACTGAAATAGCTTTTGAATCCTTTTTTGAAGAAGTAGGATTCTATTCAACTAAATCAGGTTCCAAGTGTTTGTTTTAATCCGTAGAGAGCCTTTTAGAGTTTGTACATGATCTCCTCAGTTCCCTTTTTCTCATAGCCTCTTGGTTGTTCAACATCTTTTAACTCGCCATATAAAAAAGTTGATTTGACATCTAACTGATAGAGTTTCCAACCTTTTTGTGCTGCAAAAACAATGATCATTCTCACATTATCCATTCTGACCACAGGTGTGTACACTTATGTATAATCAATTCCATGCTCGTGTGTAGCCTTTTACAACCAATCTTGCTTTGTATTTATCAACTTCTACATACTCATTTAGCTTGGTTTGATAAATCCAGTTCACTCCTAATTCCTTTGCTCCAGATGGTAGAACCACCAAGTTCCATGTTTGATTTTTTTCAATGGATTTGATTTCTTCATCCATAGTCAATCACCATTTTGGGTTTTTGACAGGTTCCTCAAAACTCACAAGAACTGAAATCATCAAGAATAGTCATATTTTCTTTATCCTCTACGGATAAACCTTCACCAAAATTATAATTTGCTAACCATACAGGTGGATGTCGATTTCTCCCATCCCTTATTATCAAATCTGGTGCAACAGCTACTGACAAATTGTTTTTAGCAACTGGTTCAATTATTTCAGCAACCGGTTCAGTCGTTTCTTCCGTGATTTTTCCTTCTTTGTTTTTCAGCAACTAGTTCAATTGTTTCAACAACCAGTTTAGTCATTTCCTCTGTGACTTCTCCTTCGGCTATGTTCTCATCAATTTCAATATTTTTTCTCCAGTCCAATTTTGTTTCACCTTAAAAAAAATTTCAATCTCATTCACGATCTTCCTCAAAAGCAACATTAAAACTTACTATAATTTTATTTGTAGTTGGATTAAACATTCTATAGCCTTCAGATTCGCGACTCCAAATAAAACATATGTTACACTTTTATCTTCAAGTTTGTTTCTTTTGGCATCTAGAATATGGACATGTCCCACACATCTAAAAACTCTGAAATAATCTTCTGATGGTTTCACTATGCTCCAAGCCTCTTTTGGTGTTATGTCATTTACTGCAAGAGTGGGTGATTCACCTGACTACTTTAGGCCAGAAATTTTTAGGCACTTTCTTCTCTGTTAGCATAGCTCTTACCAAGTTCATCACAGTGCGATTTTTGCGTCTGGCCACTCCATTTTGCTATGGGGTATAGGTTGTGGTCAATTGTCTCTTCGCTCCATGTTGTTTGCAAAAATATTGTCTCTCCGTTCCATGTTGTTTGCAAAAATTGTTGAATTCTATAGAGTTGAATTCTCCTCCTCTATTTGTCCTTGAACATTTTATAGGCATTCCAATTTCTTTTTCCACCGTTGCTTTGAAACATTTGAAATGATAAAATGCTCCGGATTTTTCTACAAGAAAATAACTCCATGCGTTCCTTGAAAAATCATCTATAAAGTACAACAAATACTTTTTTTGGCCACTTGAAGCGGGTGAAATTGGACCACATAGATATGCATGAACAAGACCCAATTTATCCATTGCTCAACATTTGCCCATTTTTTGAAATGGAGTTCGATCATTTTTTGAAATGGAGTTCGATGTTGCTTGCCTTTCATATATGCCTCATAGGTAGTGTTGAAATGGAGTTCGATGTTGCTTGTCTTTTATACATGCCTCACAAGTAGTGTTTGAAGCTACAATTTGCAGCAAGCCTTTCACCATGTTTTTGTGTTTCAAGGTGCTTTGTAGCCGAGATGACCATAACGATGGTGTCAAAGTGATTGATCCATATTTAAAACTTAGAGGCATCTTCCTTCATTTGCTGTGGTAGATGGTTCAGTACGCAAAATAAAAAGCCGATTTGCGCTCATAATTGACTCTGTTATTTTTTCTTTTTGTGGATGATAAATGTTATATACACCATCTTTGAACAGAACTGCTACTCACTTTTTCATGTAGTTGTCCAATTATCAAGAGTTCACTTGCACACATATGGTTTGAGCAACTAGAATCTAAGAAATCACTCCTTTTTACTTCATGTCTTTCCATATAAGCCATTAACAATATTTCATCTGTTCTTTCAGCTCTGCATAATTTAATTCCTTATTCATCTTGGACATTCATTTTGAAAATGACCTAAGTCATGACATATATAACATTCAATTGTTGCTTTGTTGAAAGTTGATCTTTCTCTCCTGCGTCCTCTGCCCCTGTAAGTTCCTCTTGCTCTGTTACTTATTTTCGTTCGTCCTTTGACTTTTAGAACTTTTTCCTCTCCATTAATGCTGGATCTTCGAAATTTTTGTTCATGCACCACTAATGAACTTTGTAATTCATCAATGGACATGTTATCAGTATTTTTGGATTCCTCAATAGATACTGCAATATAAGTACATTTTTCAGTCAGGGTATGCATAATTTTTTCTACAGTTTTC